CGTTTCCTCCTATTACTTCCGTCATTCCATCATCATCACCATCATATCATCATCATCATTATCATCATCACCCATCCATCATCATCTCCCTCTTGTTCTTCTTCACACGCCTTCTCTAGTCCTCCCCACTCCTCATTTCCTTCTTCTTCTTTGATCTAGCCCCCACCCCCACCCTCAAACCATACCCTCCTTTTATTCTTCTTATTTTTCTATTATTATTATTATTATTATTATTATAAAAATTTAATTAGTAATTTTACTCTCTAAAAAGTAACTATTCTTCTTCTTCCTGCAATCCAGCCCCCACCCTCTCCCTTAATTTTCTTCCTCTTATTTTTCTATTGTTATTTAAAATTAATTAGTAATTTCACACCCTAAAAAACTACTACGTAGTTATTTTATTACTCTAAATAGTTAAAAACCCACTTTAACCTCTTACTTTTTAAACCCTGCCTATGAAATCAAGGTAATCTACACATCACATCCTACTTTTACACATTAAATTAATGTTATTTTTGAAAAGTCAACACAAAATTATCCCTCCTTTAATTATCACTTTAGTCAAAATGTATAAAACTTTGTGGGACGGAGGAAGTAATATTTACTCCCTCCGTCCCCCTGTATTTGTCCACTTTCATTTTTGCACACCATACAATGCACTTTTTTAATCCATTTTATCTTGTAATTTGTATTTTAAAAAAATATAAAAATTACTCCCTCCGTCCTATAATGTTCTTCCCACACACTTTTTACCCGGTCAAACTTTAATAACTTTCTTTACCTATTTTCATTAGGTATTTGATAAAATAATATAGTCTTGACACCATTTGTTTTGTAGAACTTTTGATGTAGTTTTTAAATATATATATTTTATTTTTAAATTTTACACCTACAATCAAATAAATTGAATTGAAAATAAAGTCGGTCAAACTTCGTAAAATGAATCGGGAAGATCATTATAGGATGGAGGGAGTATATATTACTCCCTCCGTCCTAAAACTTTCTTCTCGGTTTGACTTTTCTCCATTTTTAATTTTTGGCTTTGACTTTAAATTTTACCCTCCTTAAAAAAGGTTTTTTGCAATTTTTTTCTGCAATCATTCAAAATATAGAGCTAGAAGATAATTAGTGTAAATACATGAGGGTATTAATGTCATTTGTCATCTTTTTTTTTCTAATGGGAAGGTAGTTTTAGGATGGAGAAAAAGGAGAAGTGGGAAGAAAGTTTTAGGACGGAGGGAGTAATAATCTATTTGTTAAGATAAACCAAACAAGATCACACATGACTATATTTAGACTTACACATTGAGAGAATTTGATGAGTCAAAGTGCTTAGATGAACAGTTCCAAAAGTCAAATGTGGACAAATACAGGGAGACGGAGGGAGTATAATAAATAATAAATAAAATTAATACTCATAATTATTAGTTTTTTTAATATAAAATTGAGTAGTACAACTACTAATTCTTTTAATAATAATAATAATTGATATCATTATTTATATTAAAAATAATTAGTAGTGGTTATACTTTATTTATAATAATTATTATTATTGCATGTTTAGCACTATTTATTAGTGCTTTTTTCTAAACATTAGAGTAGTAAAATTACTTTTTATAGAGTAAAATTACTAATTAAATTTTTATAATAATAATAATAATAATAATAATAATAATAATAGAAAAATAAGAAGAATAAAAGGGGTGTATGGTTTGAGGGGTGGGGGTGGGGGCTAGATCAAAGAAGAAGAAGAAGGAAGATGAGGAGGGGGGAGGACTGGAGGAGGCGGGTGAAGAAGAACAGGAGGGAGATGATGATGGATGGGTTATGATGATAATGATGATGATGATATGATGGTGATGATGATGAAATGACGGAAGTAATGGGAGGAAACGGAGGGATGGATGAAAAATCACCCCTTAGTTAGTTTTTCAATATTTTAGGGTACCTCGTAGTATATTTTTAAAACTAGAGGTATCTGGCAGTCTTTATTTCAAAATATAGGGTACCTACCAGCAGTTTTTTGTTTTTCCAAGCAACAAATACCCGGTGGGAAAATAAATCTTGACATAAAAGAGATTTATAATGTGGGTGCTTGACTCCCCGTGCAGTCTACACCTTCCTTGATAATTACATCAATCAATAGGGTGACACATATGCACTTTTATATATCTTCTGAATTCAAGCATCAACTACCTTTGAGAGTATAATGCATTTAATGTTGTCTCATTAAAACCTTACCAAGTAACAAAATCCAGTGGAAAAAATAGACTTGGTTGAAGGGAAAAAGACTACAACATAATAAAATCATACATTAGTTACTTTTGATTATGACACTAAATAAATATTCTCAAACCAATATTGTCCTTTGTACCGAATAAAGTAAAATAAATGATGCATATCATATTGCCTCATTAAAACTATGCCAAGTAACAAAACCCAATGAGAAAAATAAAACTTGGTCATAGGAAAAAAAGAGTACAATGCATTAGTGTATACATTGCAATTCAATGATATGTTCTTATACCAATGACACTCGTAAGATGCCATGATATCATAATATCTCCCAAAAATATATATATATATATTAGGGTCAATGTGTCTCCAGCCATAGCAAAACCATCAAACAAGTTACTTTATGCTTAAGAGTTGCTCATTCATATTTATATTAAGAACAATATTATCATCAATCTCTAAGTTTAACTTATGAATGAATAATGCCCACGTCAACGATTCCAACAAGAACATCAAAATGCATTCTTGATAACGTTTGGATGAGTATGTGTTATTATGGTCTTGATAGAATTCTAGCTAACAAGTTCAATGAGAGTACAATATTAATTCAAATGCACTAATGCATTTCAATAGTCTTGTTTGTGTTGTAACCTTTTGAATGGTTAGTTGGTTACATTTCACATACTCCTTAAATCTAAAGTTTCAAAAGTGATGTTATTGTTTATTTATGATATTAGAAATCAAAAAAATTGAATTATTATTTCAAAAATAAAATAATATTTAAATAAAAAATTAAAATCACTATAAATATAGTTATCCATTTGCCGTCCTTAACCTTTGTTGAGATATCGTGCTGCCATATTCTCTCTTTATTCTACTGAAGAAGGGATTTATTCCATCTCTTTTTTTGAGAAGCATGCCATGGATTGAATTATAAACTAATTAATGGCCGGTATGTATACCCTAAGAAAGAAATATTGTACTCTATAGTTTGACAGGTCCAAATTTAAGAAGAGTAAATCAAAACAATTGAATTCAAGAAAAAAACTTGCAACCTAAAAGAAGCTTCATATGTATCTTACCTTGTCCTGTTCGAAGACCCGTCGTCCATTGTTGCCTTAATCCATCTAGCCCAAGTTGAAACCCTACCTGCTTTGCCGTTCTTTTGGATAGAAAATCAATTAGAAATTCTAATCGAAGTTGTGTACATAATCGACCTAACCACCACCTTCGTCCTATCAACGTATCAAGCTCCAATCGTTGTAGATGTGGATACATTTGAAACCTTAGCCCCGGATACGGTTTTGGCGCGAGCAATGAGCAGAGAGAGCCCTATTTCTTTTTTAAGGATCTAGTAGTGAATGAAGTACCGAAGACGCATGAGGGAAAAACCCTAGACAAAAGCAGCGAATTAGCTTCTCCCATACCCTCTCGAATCATGGGTCGAGCACTGCTCCCGTTTTACTATAGCTTGGGGCGGGAAAAGAATATTGTTCATGTTACTCTCTAGCTTTGTATAGATAACGATAACGATTTATCTCACTCCATTAAAAAAAATTAGAATCAATATTAAATCGCGCCGAACCAAGTGGTTTGGTTTCACTCCGCAGTACCAAGAACCATTTGGTGTTTGGTCACCCCTAGCCTTCTTTATTCAATCTTAGGCTCTGTTCTTTTGGGTTAGAATTTCAGAGTTGAATGTTAGAAGAAACTGGAAGAAATTGGAAGGAGTTGGAAAATGTTGGAAGAATTTAAGTGTTAAAAAGTCACTCAATTAAATGATTACTCAATTACATACGGAGTATGTAACAAAATTCTAGATTAAAAAAATTCATCATTGTTTCTGTTTGATATAGTATGTTATAAATTTATATATGTATAATGTTATTTTATTTTTATTATGTATAAATACATTTTTAAGTCGTTAGTAAAAGAAACTAGAAAAAATTGAAAAAATCTTGATCGAATAAAAAAATCAAAAAAATTTAAAAAAATTAGGAATTACTCTCGAGTATTAACTTTTTCACCCCAAAAGAGTAGAGTTTTTACTTTTACTACGTGTTTAGGAATTAGGAGTAGGGCTGTAAACGGATAGCCGAAAATCCGATTACCGTCCGCATCCGTATCCGTTTAAAGAGAAAATATCCGCATCCGTTTTGAACGGATATTATCCGTATCCGATTAAGGATATCCGATTACTAAACGGATACAGATTTGGTAATTGTATATCTGATCCGTTTAAAATCTGATCCGCATATGCATCCGTTTAAATAACCGTTTATCCGAATATCCGATCCGTTATATATAGTTTTTCCTAATTTTTTATGTTTATATTTTGTTTTTCTATTGATATTTCAAAATATAAGACGTTTTTATATACAAAATAAATGTGTACACATTAAAATATATACAGACATATAAAAATATGTGTATATATGTGTTGTGTATATCTTTTTCTCATATAAAGTTATTGTAGAATATCAGAAATCATGAAAACAAAGAAAATAATTATCTCATAACAAATTATATTTGATTTAATAATAGTTTGACTTTAATCTAATTTAAAAATAAAGTATTTTTTAATTTGATTTTAAAAATTGGAAACGGATACGGATATATCCGATATCCGACCGATATCCGATGGATGCGGATACGGTTTTGATTTTCAGTATCCGTCAAGATCCGTATCCGAATTCGATATCCGACAAAAATAAACGGATGCGGATTTGGTAATAGCACATCCGATCCGATTAATATCCTTTACACCCCTAATTTAAGAGAGAGGAAGTACCGTCTGTATTTCCGTCCTTTCAATTGATCACTGCGAGAGAACATTTTCGGCTGCTGTGGCCCCCACCTCGATCACATTCATCATCAGCCTTCTCTGTTTTCTCGCTGCGGCGAAAACCCCTCCACCTGAAACTGCCAGCTCCGTCGTCTCAATCTTCTCCATCCTTCTCCTTAAGGCCTAAACCCTAGTCGCTCCCTCCGCCTCAAAATCTCTCTCCCGCCATTCGCTCCCGTTTTATGGACTCTCGCCTCCTATTTCACTCCAACCTTTAGCTCCTCCAATTGCATCGCCGCGTTCCGACCATCCGAATGGACTCTCGCCGTGTTTCTCGGGCCGTGAGCGACCCTAAGGTCAGGCAAGTCGGGTTCTTCGCGCCCGGAGCCCCGCCGGAACGTTCTCAATCGGGCCCGCCGGATCCGGCGTCTCCCCCCGTGTCCGATCTCTCTCCATCCAGCAATTCCCTCTCTCCGGTGATGATTCCGCCTCCGCGGCACCTTTCGGCCGACCTCTCTCGCGTGGTCTCTCACTTCCCACCTGCTTCGCCTTCCCCGCTCCGCCGCGACTCCCTCCCAGTCGGCAGTTACAATCCATCTGAGTTTACCTCCCCCACTGCCTCCGACTTCACGGAGGGCATCCACTCTTCTAGTCGAGCTCGCAAGGGAGACTCTGGGAAATTTGCTACTTCCCTCCCTACTGGTGGATTCGACATGACCGGTTCCAAGCAGAACAGCTTTCCCGCAGCTGGTTTAACCACAGTTTCCATTGTAAACGAACCTCATGACGTACCTGGTATTTTTTTTCTGCTCATCCTGTGTCTCTGTTCCTGAATTGATAGGTTTCTTTTGAAGAGTTTGGTACTTTAATGTGGGGGCGTGATGTAACTGCAATCTTCTCTTCTTGCAGAGAAAGATGGACGATTATCTGCTGCAGCACAGAGAGAGCAAGCAACTGGTTCTAAACCATTGAAAGAGAAAACCACCAAGGCTGAAAGGCGTGCCCTTCAGGAGGCTCAACGTGCTGCAAAAGCTGCATCTAAGGGTACTTTCCATTCATTTCACTTTCTAGAACAGAACACTGCATCATTTGTAACTTGCTATAACGATGTCTCTGATGGTTTTTCAAAGCCAGCCAAATGTTTTTCTTCTTTTTTTGGGGAGGGGGTACTCTGGTTTCTGCTTAGCATTGAGGGGGTTACTCCGTACTAGTTCAGAGTAGGAGAACTGAACTGAAAGACCAAATCCCCATTCAATGTGTATGTATCTCGAAATGTCGAGACAAAAACAAATTGTGGAGACTTTCGGTAGGGCTTTTAATCCATCCATATCATCATTATTTAATATCATGAGGCGACGATGTGTTGTGATATTTTCTATGGTCATTTCCCGAAACAAGATGGGTATTGTAAAATGCATGTTTTTGCTTGAAGACAATGAAAGATTGTCTTGTATCACAATTTCATCAAGATCATAGTACTTGCTCTTATTCTTCACGAGTTGTATCTCGAATTGTTGCTGAAAGACCAAATCCCCATGCAATGTGTATGTATCTCGAATTGTTGAGACAACCAAATTGTGGAGACTTTCGGTAGGGCTTTTAATCCGTCCTTATCATCATTTTTTAATATCATGAGGCGACGATGTGTGGAGATATTTTCTATGGTCATTCCGAAACAAGATGAGTATTCTAAAATGCATGTTTTTGCATGAAGACAATGAAAGATTTACAAAAATAATTACTGTCAATACTCTTTTCTTGAAAGATTGTCTTGTATCACATTTTCATCAAGATCATAGTACTTGCTCTTATTCTTCATGAGTTGTGATGATACAAATCATACACTGTTAATCCAGCCGATACAAGTAAGGGAACTGCTGCTGCTTCAGGGGAAGCTACTTCTGCAAGTGCAAATGCAGGAAAGGCTTATAAGGGTCATGCACAAAGGAAAGATAGCTCCCCAGTTGGAGCTTCTGAAAAAAGAGGCACTGATCGTCTGGCTGATAAAGATAGGAAAAAAGATGCGCCCCATCCACGCATGCAGTTTGATGATAAGAGCCGTGTGGAAAAAGCAAAGAAGCGCTCGGTAGTGAAACAAACTGAAGCAAGGAATAGGGTTGAACTATTCAGACATCTGCCTCAGTATGAACATGGAACACGACTTCCCGAGCTTGAATCAAAGTTCTTCCAACTTGATCCAGTCCATCCTGCTATTTTCCAGGTACTCACTGAGGGGATCTTCTTTATAAAGAATGGCAGTGCTCTTAAAAGTATAAAATCTAATATGTCATTTGATTTGGATTATCTGAGATCACTTTTATGTAATTAGGTAATGGCATAACCTTTTGGAAGTTAATATGCAGATTATGTTGTGGAAATGTAAGATTACTTTGAGTTTGGTTCATATTGCGGTGATATACGATTACTGTAGAGGACTATATATCTGCTTTAGAGGGAAAATATCTAACATTAAAATCTAGCTGACAATACTTGAAAACTCAATATACTCCATAATAGATTGCGTTCAACAATACCCCATTTGCATAGGTGGTAAAAAGATGTTATTACACATGTAATTAGGTGCACTGAACCTAAAAGTAATCTGATACTATCTTTGTCAGTCTCTCCCACTATGTTTGTCCCATTTTTTTCATTTTCCTTTGTCCCTAAATGTTTGTTCCAATCATATTTTGTCTTATTTAGGCGAGTAAAAATAATTCATAGTTTGTACGACTTATATTCAATCTTAACCATTCAATCCCACTTTTTCTTAATTTGCATGTTACTTTTCCTTATCCCAAACTTAGTGGGATGGATGAAGTATAATTTTATGGATACATGACCTTTGTGGTCCATAAGGTACCAATACAAAATTTACCTCGACCCATCCCAGTAATCCTGGGGGTTGGACTGGGGGATGCACTCTATGAGGAGGAATTGATTTGTTGATCCATCAAAATACTCCATGGGGTGGGGCTGGCCGTTAGGGATGCACTATAAGGAGGAACTAATTTATTCAGTTTTTTTCATTTTTTTTGTTGCAATGCTCTTGTACATGCGATGTTATATCCCATATTTTTACAATGTTAAAACCCCTAAAGTATCAATAAGGACATTGAGCCGAATAAATATACAATTAAATAATTAAGAGGCCCAATTTACCATTTATAACAAGATAGGTGTATTAATACTCAAAGTGGGCCAATATGCATCCAAGAAAGAATAGGGCAAGACTGAGGTGCTAATTAGACGGGCACCACCCGTCGCCATAATAGTATACCCAAAAGGCTAAGAGTTGACTTAGCTGGATAAGAGAATGGCTAAGGCAACCCAGTGGAACAGCGGTCCCACCACTACTGCCGCTTAAACCGTGGAGAGTGGAGGAAACCAATTAGTAAATGAGATGTATAAAGACCCCTTTCTCAGAAAAAGAGGGGGAGGTAATTAGAAGCATTACTAATCCATCAAGCTATACGAGATAAATTTCAGAAATTAGTATTATTATTCCAATATTATTTATCGCTCCGTCCCATAGCCGATGGGTTTAATCCATCACACATAAATGTCAACTCATCTAGTATGACTATGGACTCTTTAAGGATTCTATTCAAGTTCCTATGCTTCATGAAAAACTTTCTTTTCAGGTTGGGCTAAGGTATTTGTCTGGCGATATATCTGGTGGCAATTCCCGTTGTATAGCTATGCTTCAAGCATTCCAAGAATCTATAAAAGACTATTCTACCCCACCCGAAAAGGCACTAATCAGGGATTTGACTGCAAAAATTAATGCTTATGTGTCATTTCTAATTGAATGCAGGCCACTCTCAATAACTATGGGAAATGCAATTAGATTTCTCAAAACTAAGATCACAAAACTTCCTTTGACTTTGTCGGAGTCAGAAGCGAAATTAACTCTTATAAAAGAAATTGACCAATTTATAAATGAAAAGATAATACTTGCAGACAATGTAATAGTCAAGCATGCCGTCACTAAGATCAGGGATGGCGATGTTCTTCTCACATATGGATCATCATCTGCAGTTGAAATGATATTTTTACATGCTCATGAGCTTGGCAAGGCTTTCCGCGTCATAGTAGTGGATTCACGTCCAAAACTTGAAGGGAAACTATTGATTCGTAGATTAGTGGCAAAGGGAATCAATTGTACGTATACACATATAAATGCTGTTTCTTATGTAATACATGAAGCCACCAGAGTGTTTTTGGGTGCTGCGTCAATTTTGTCTAATGGAACGGTTTACTCGAGGGTTGGCACATCATGTGTTGCTATGGTTGCTCATCAATTTCGTGTTCCCGTCCTGATATGCTGTGAAGCTTATAAGTTTCATGAGAGGGTTCAACTTGACTCAATTTGCTCTAATGAACTCGGTATGTCAGCATCTATTTTCTTTGCTGGTTCACCCCCTGTCTGATTTATGTAATTTATATCCTTCTCTTTTTAAGGCTTGGTAAGGCCTATAATAACTGATTTTGTTGGAACTGCTGAAATCATCTGAAAAAAGGTGTATTCAAAATGTAGTTTGGAAGTAAGTTAAAGAAAATAGTATCTAGACATAGGAGATGGAAATTCATTTTCTTTAATTTCAGCCCTATCAGCCAATCGAGCATTATGTAGTACTCCCTCCATTGGCCGATTGGGGACAGGTTTAAAGCTCATTTAATTGGGGAAAATGACCACATTACCATTATCTTTGAAGAAAAAAAATAAGAGAATGAGGAAGTTGGCAGAAAATATCTATTTCATCTTTGACAATAAAGAAAGAGTCTGTAATAAGTATTTCTCCCCGAAGTATCAAGTAACTGCTGTTTTGAAACATAGAGGATGATTTTCTAACATGTTTTCTCACCATTTTAGCTATTATCATTGCTATAACGTAGGTGATCCAGAAGCAATAGCAAAAGTTCCTGGTGAGAGGGATGGTGATCTCCATGATTGGGCTAGTTGTGAAAATCTGCAGCTTCTAAATCTAATGTAAGTTCTCTTTCCTTGCCAGCACAAGACATTTTCCTCATATTCACCAAAATTGATGAATTGTATTTACTCTGTGACAGCTACGATGCAACACCGGCAGATTACGTTTCAATGATAATCACAGATTATGGAATGGTACGCGCACTTGAACTTTTATTTCTATTCCATCATCAAATAAAATTCACCGATTCACAAAACAACATGCATAGAAGATGTTTTCTACTAATTTCTAAAAATGTATGCATTACAGATCCCCCCAACAAGCGTTCCAGTCATTGTTCGAGAATATTGCAGAGAGCATTTCTGGACTTAGTTGCCTGAATGTTTAAAGACTCAGATGCAGAAGAATGTTTTGTTTTTTTGGTGTGAGAAAAGGTGCGTCTGCCGTTGACATTAAAATTTTCTAAATTTTCCGATTTCTCGAGTGATTCTAATTCCCTTTTTTGTCTGTGAAATAATGATTTGTCATGTGATATTTTAATTTTGAGATTTGGGATTTCCTCATATTTTTCCTTGACACTCCGTGAAGAGAACGATATATCTTTGCCTCTCCGGGTCCTTTTTTTTTGGTTTTTTGGGAAATTATCTTTGTAAGAGGCTATTATTGGGATGCATCAGTTTTGATAGTATTTTTCTTCTATCCAAAGAAAGCCACTCTTTGTGCAAAGTTGATGGGCTGAGGTAGAAATGGTTCTCATCGCATTCTTCCTTCCCGGCCTTAAGTTTTTTGCTTCTCTTTTTAAGCTATGTTTCTAGGAGTAGATTGTAAATGACACTGGTCTCTGGGTTGATATTACTGTGTTGGATTGTTGGATAATAAAAAAAAGTTATACTAAAGGTAAACCGGGATTATGCAATATGGTTATACTCCCTCCGTCCCATTTTATAACGCCTGTTTCGGTTTACGATGTTTGACTGAAGTTATTTTCAAATCATTTTATATGACAAATGGTATAGAATTAAAAAATAAATATTACATATCAAAATACTACATCAAAAGATCTACAAAACTAGTAGTGACAACAATATTTTATTTTATCAATTTGTTAACGAAAATAGAGAAAGAAAGTGAATGAAGTTTGACCCTGTGGATAGTGAACAAGCATTATAATTTGGGACGGAGGGAGTATCATTTCTTGTTTTGTACAGTAGAATTTTTGTTATTTTTAAATATATTCATTAGCCGCCCGCCGGATTGATGCTTTTCATTCAAATTTTCGAATCTGCAACTCCTCAAAGAAAAACTCTCTCAACTCATCTTCCTGTCTTCTCACAATCAAGGCAAAAAAATTGATTGTTGTTTATTTTCTGTTGAACCAACTAGAACTTCAAATCTAAATTTTTTCTCCATCACCAATTCTTAATCCATTTTATTTTACTCAAATTCTCATTCTAATCATCAATCTTCTTTATCTTTTTCTTATGTTGAACCATTTCCAAAGCAAATAAAACAAAAGCAAAACCAAAAGGGGAAATAGAGGAAAAAATACCTCTACAAGTCACCCCTCCACAAAAATGTCATACAACTTCTCACAATTGAAAAAAAATAAGGCATTGCCCGGATTTAAGAAAAAAACAAAGAATGTCAAGGATCTTCAATCAAACATGCACCTCCAATAGTGTTCTTTGTTCTTCAACGTCAGCAGCTATAGGTGTATGTCAACTCTTTCTCTCTTCTTCAAAGATGTCAGCAGCTACCGGCATACGTTATACTTCTCTCTTCTCCAACGATGTCGGCAGCTACTAGTGCACGTCAGACTTCTCTCTTCTCCAAATACATCAGCAGCTACTAGCGCACGTTAAACTTCTCTTTTCTCCGACGATGTCAGCAGCCACCGGCGCAGACTTCTCTCTACTTTTTTTCTCTTTACTTAATGTTTCCAGTTTCTAGCAAGTGTCCAAGCTTTCTTTTGCTTCAGTCAGAGTTTAGCTTGAAGGAGGATATTACACAATAATATTAATCCTAATTATTATAGTACTTGGTCCGTCCCTGAGTGATTGTCCACTTTTGACTTTTGGAACTGTTTATCTAAGCACTTTGACTCATCAAATTTTCTCAATGTGTAAGCTTAAAAATAGTCATGTGTGATCTTGTTTGATTCGTCTTAACATATAGATTATTAATATATAATTTTTATAATTTTTTAATATACAAATTACAAGATAAAATGGATTAAAGAAGTGCATTGGTGTGCAAAAATGAAAGAGGACAAACACTCAGGGATGGAGGGAGTATTAGTTATGGCCGTCTTTATATTTTAGTCAGCTACTATTCTTGTTTCCTAGTCCTAGTGTTGTATTTCCATTCTATATATTCTACCATGTACTCCATAATCTCTTGAATAATATAGTTGTCTCAATAGCTCAATTGTTAGACAATTATGGAAATAAGTGCAGTTATGGAAGAACTTTTATTTTAGTTAATTACTTTACTTGGAGAATCCTAATTAATGTAAGGATCTCTATCTATATAAATCACATTGGGTTGAAAACCTATTTCAATATGGTATTAGAGCGTGTGGGGTATTAGAGTCAGACTTTTTGGTATTAGAATAATCTAATAAATAATATTGCTCATTAAATTATGAAGTACGTGATAGAATATATGTATAAAAGACACTTGTAATACAACTAAAAATAGATAATGAAAACTAACTAAAATACTACATATACCATAAATAAGAGTATGAAGCTAAATAATAATCAAACACTATTATTATTATTATTATTATTATTATTATTGTCTAAAGCCTTTGATTTCAAAAGTGAGCGAATTCTCTCTCGATCCTTTATACTCCTTCCGTACACAAATAAAATTCTCGATCATTATTCACAGGGTCAAACTTTATTCATTTTGTTGATCTATTTTCGTTACACATTTGATAAAATAATAGTCATGCCACATCTAATTTTCTAGATCTTTTAATATAGTTTTTTAATATGTGATTTTTATTTTAAAATTTCACACCATTTTTTATATAAATGATTTAAAAATAATTTCAGTCAAACATCATAACGCACAACGAAAATTTTATTTGTAGACGGAGGGATTAAATATAATTGCCAGCCAATCAATATACGTGGAGTACATTTAATGTAACTGGAGCCTCAAGTATAGGGTACCCCACAGGAGCCCCAAGTACAGCTTACCAACACCGTGGCATTTCAAGGAACCATTATTCCCAACACGAAATTACACAAACATCCCTCCAACCTCCCTTAATTTAGGCTGCGGTCCCTAAAACCACCTCATAACGGCTACACGGGGGTAATTTCGTCACTCTATTCCAAGTTGTGCCCAAAGTCGGCCAGAGCAAATCCCCAAACTACCCTGCTCAACGGAAAAAATCGTGGCTAAAGCAAGGGTAACGCAGTCAAATCACTAATATGGCATTCTTTTCAGGCAGGTGAAGGAATATATCCACTCCCAAATTAAAGTCACCTTACTTTTTATGAATGCCCTATAAAATTCAAAAAATGCTATAGAGTAACATATATGAATGCCCTTCTCTTAATTTGAATACATAAATGATAATCGTTTGTGAAATTACAGAGTTCACAGATGTTTGTATATTCAAATTCAAGACATTAGAAGTTTATAATCACCTCACTTTTTATTATTTTTTCCTCTCAAAAAATGTTAAGTCCTTTTAGAAATAAGAAGTTTAGAAAATGTCTCCCTTCCTTGTTTGGAAACATCACTTTCGATTAGCGTTAGCATTTTGGATAAGATCTTAATTATGTAAATTAATTTTGAAAGTGTTAGCAATAAAGGCTACTGTCGGATAGCCTCTTCAAAACATTAATTTCTAACGTTTATACTATACGGAGTCTCTATATAAATTTCCACTACAGGATATATACTTACTGGTTATTTTTTAACACGCCATAAAAATTAATGTAAGACCGGTTTTATAGGAAAAAGAGAATAGAATATACTCTATGCTCCGTAATATAGAGTAAAATAGATTAAAAGTTTTGCTATTTATGTCCCAACAATCATTCACTTATAATTTCTTACTTTTTTATTTGTTTCGATATATTTTTCTTCATTTTATCTTTGAGAATAAAGACGTGGTTCAAAATACTTTTCAATGCTAGAATCATTACCCTAAAATATTTGTCTAATTTTTTTTGTTAATAATCCTAAAATGAATTATTCCTTTCCTTCCAAATTTGTCTTCTCATTTTTTTTACTCAATCTCAAAATAAATATCTTACTTCCTTACCTTTCTAATAATAAAGTAAGAACATGTAGTCTACAATTTTCTTCTTTCTTCAAATCAAATTTTAATAACTCAATTTTAACATTTTTGGAAGTGTCAATAAAAAAATAAGAATGTAAGGGGCTGTTTGTTTCAGCCTCTTAATGATTCAGATGTCTGAATGGTTCAGCACTTAATGGTTCAGATTGTTTGTTTCAGCCTCTTAATGGTTCAGATGTCTGAATGGTTAAGAGATTTGCCTCTGAATGATTAAGTATTATACAGAGTCTGAATGGTTAAGACTTCTTATCTGAATTGATGAGACATTTGACTCTGAATAGTTAAGCAATATACTAGCTCTTAATGATTCAGACCTCTTACAGGTTCAGCACTTAATGGTTCAGACCTCTTACTGATTCAGCACTTACTGATTCAGAAGTTGCCAAACAGCCCCTAAATGTCATTCTCAATTTTTACCTACAAATATTTTCGGGTATAAGAATCGTTTCCATTTTTTTTACTCCGTACATTTTGTTTTTTATTTTTTAAAGGTGAAATGGAAAAAGGAAAGAATTTGAGAGCAATCTGGCAGAGCACGAAAGGTGGTTCGTAAAGACCAGAGAGAGATAAGGGTGAGAAATTTGGTAGAGAGGAAAACCAGTGAGAGAAAGTTACCGGATTCGACAGCTATATTCGCCGGAATTTGGGAACTCTGTTCACGTCCGGTGAAGATTTCCCAAATTCCTTTTCCCTTAGAATTAGGGTTTTTTTGGGTAATGAAATCTCTCGTTCTTGAAGTAAAGGTTGTTCTTTTGCCAAGTTGAGCCTGCGATCTGGGTGGCGTTCCAGTTCTTGGAAGAAAGGGGTATTGTTGATCTTATGTCTACGCCGACGAGGAAATTGTGGGCCGGGTGGTCGCTCACGCCCAAGAGCGAGACGCCCAGGAAGAACAGCGACAAGGGAAAAGGCCTCTCTTTTTTAGAAAATTCAGGGAGGGGTTTGAGTGGAGAAGAAAATGGATCCATTAACCTGCAAGAGAAGATGGCGAAGCTCGAAACAGAGGTTAAAAAACTTGAACCCTTGTTCTTTAGCAGTTTTATGCCGATTGATTTGTTGATTCTTTTTCCCATTGCCCATTGGGCTTACTACATTTATCGTTTTCTTCATGGTTTTGAGTGTACTATAGCAGCTTCAATTTTCTGTCTCTTGTTGCATTTGGTTACTAGACTTTGGAGCGTCCATTCTTAAGAAAATACTTGTAGTTTATCTTTTGCTGAGTGCCACAGTGCCTCTAGTATTCTAAGAAGAGTGAAGTGGGGAAGAATTTGTCTCATTAACAATTTCAAGAATGGGAAAAGACCTAAACATAAGCATTGTCTCTGATAGTCATTTCTGTTTGCCAATATAGGCATTATACAACAACCCAATATAATCCCAAATTTGTTGGATCAGGGGTCAGAATGTATGTAGTCTTACCCTGTAAAAACGGTGAGGTTGCTTCCCTTAGACCCCATATGCATTGCTGCATTTACTGCCAAAAACTTGATAGAGTAAGAAGCAAGAGAAGTTTAAATATTTAATACACCTTTTTTTAATTTAGTCCATTATGGTCAATGATGGCTCTTTTAGCCCCATAAGCAATAGACATAATGATTATCTGTTTTTGCGCAACAGATGTAAGTTGATTTATCATACAAGTACATGCTGTGATATGTGTGAATTGTATTAAGTTTAGTGTTGTGACTTTCACATGAATGCCAGTTTAATACAGTACACATCTGCGTGGCATATCCAATATGTTTAGTTAATATGGTGTTTCATGTTTATTTCAGTTTTATTGACTTCTGTTTACTTTTGTAGCTCTTTGATTACCAATATAATATGGGTCTGCTATTGATCGAAAAGAAGGATTGGACTACCAAGTACGAAGAAGCTAAACATTCTTTAGAAGAAGCAAAAGATCTCTATAGAAGAGAACAAGAAGCTAACTCTATTGCAATATCTGAAGCAGCAAAGCGTGAGGACAATTTAAGGAAGGCATTGGGTGTTGAGAAACAGTGTGTACAAGACGTATGACTTTTATTTCTTTTGATTCAATATGACTATTATATTTTTGTTTTCCCTTTGGAGAAACATTTGAGGTTGTATCTTTCTGCAGCTTGAGAAGGCTTTGCATGACATGCGCGCTGAATGTGCTGAAATTAAATTCACAGCTGATTCAAAATTGGCTGAGGCAAATGCTCTATTGACAAGTGTTGAAGAGAAATCACTAGAGGTTGAATCCAAACTCCACACAGCCGATGCTAAGCTTGCTGAAGCTAGTAGAAAGAGTGCAGAAGTTGAAAGGAAATTGAATGAGCTAAAGGCTCAAGAAAATGCACTCCGAAGAGAACGGTCCTCTTTCACCATTGAGTAAGCTTTTAGATCGTCAATCTTCTTTCAAATCAGTGAGGAGCTTCTGGTCCATAATTGTTTTCCACTCTGTGCCACACTCATCAATTCATCACGGTCGGTTGGATATATTTTTAAAACACACTAGAAGTGTTTTTTGCTGAGTGGACCATGGTTATGGATAAGTGGATCCTCACTTCTAGCCAATAGTGCACATGTGGATGTGCTTTTAGTTTTTACCCTTTCGATTGGATGGCTTCTTGTTGAAATGTTTTTATGCTTATTCCAATTTTATGTCAGGCGTGAATCTCATGAGAGCACTTTGTCTAAGCAAAGGGAAGACTTGAGGGAATGGGAAAGAAAACTGAAAGAGGGTGAGGATAGACTTGTTGATAGCCGGAGGTTGTTAAACCAACGAGAGCAAAGAGCAAATGATGCTGATAAGATAATGTTGCAAAGGCAAAATGAACTTGAAAGTTCTCAGAAGAAAATTGACTCGGCTTACTCTGCTCTTAATGAAAAAGAAGAGGACATTAGGAGCCGGCTTGCAAGCCTTAGCATGAAGGAAAAGGCATGTTGTAATTTCCATTGATATCTGTTAGTAAATGCTTTACCATCTTTTACTTACTGTTTTCATTTATTTTTCCCATTTTAATGCAGGAAATTGATGATATGAAAAAGAGCTTAAATCTAAAGGAGCAAGCATTATCTGACTTGGAGGAAAAGCTGAATGTTAAAGAGAAAGTGAGTGCACACCCTTCATTTATTTTAAATAGTACTCGTATTTGTCAAGGTGCAAACACATATGATGATGGAGTGTACACTTTGTATTATTCTTCTGCAATAAGTATTTATGGTGTATCAAATTATCACTTTAAATGTCAACTTTTTGTAAATAGTTTAGTTTCACTCTATCTTGGTTGACTGGTTGTGCTTTATTTAGAAAGAAGAGAAACGATATCAACCATACAAATATTTCCTTAAAAATCCTTGAAAGGATGGGACAACCCAAAAGAAAAACGATAAGAAAATTTTGAGATGGAGATTGTATTTATTATATATCTGGAGTATTTAGATTTGTTTCTTGTGAATTCTGTGATGCAGTGGTCATTATTCTTCACCCTCAGAGTCATAACCTTTGTGTTGATATAAGAAAAAATAAATCCTTCAATGGATGATGGTGAGAGTACTTTTTAAACTTTGTCACTTTGTTTTCCAGGAAGAGATCCAAAAGCTTGTAGATGAACACAGAGCAGTCCTGGATGCCAAGGAAGAAGAGTTCAACCTGGAAATGAAGCAGAGGAGGGAATCTGTTGATGAAGAACTGAAAAGAAAAGAGATTGAGCTTGAAAGAAAGGAAGCTGAAATTCTTCACTTGGAAGAAAAAGTCAAAAAACGAGAAGTGGCACTTGAGAAGAAATCAGAGAAGGTTAAAGAGAAAGAGAAAGATCTTGAGACAAAAATGAAAGCCATGAAGGAAAGGGAGAAGTCTTTAAAAGTTGAGGAGAAAAACTTGGAGAAGGAGAGGAAGCAAATTCTGTCTGACAAGGATGAATTACTTTCTATTAGGGATGAACTTGAGAACATAAAAGCTGACGTTGAGAAAAAACAGATAAAGCTAAATGAAGACACAGAGCAGCTTAAAGTAACAGAAGCTGACAGATTGGAACTCACTCGCCTGCAATCGGAGTTGAAACAAGAAACAGACAAGTGCAGACTCCAGCGAGAAATGCTCTTGGAAGAAACTGAGGATTTGAAGCAGGAAAGAGAGAAATTTGAAAAGGAATGGGATGGGTTGGACGAGAAAAGAGCTGAGATTAATAAACAATTGGAGGAAATCAATGAACAAAAGAGGAGCTTTGAAAAGCTAAAACACTCTGAAGACGAAAAGTTGAACAACGAGAAAATCGAAACTCAAAACTATGTCAATGGAGAGTTGGAAGCACTTAAAGTAGCCAAAGAGACGTTTTCGGCCACAATGGAGCATGAAAGATCAATTTTAGAAGAGAAACTTCGAAATGAGAGAAGCCAACTGCTTCATGATTTTGAACTTCTTAAAAGCAAGCTTGAGACTGATATACAGAAGAAGCAGGAAGAGATGGAGTCTGAGTTGCTTGAGAGAAAGAAACAATTTGAAGACCTGAGGGAGGGAGAACTAAATAATATTAACTTTTTAAAGGAAGTAGCTCGAAGAGATATGGAAGAGCTGAAATTAGAAAGGTCTGGAATAGGCAAAGAGAAACAAGAAATATCTGCAAGCAAGAAGCATCTTGAGGTACAACAATTAGAGATTCGAAGTGACATTGAAGAGTTAGTTGCCTTAAGTAATAAGTTGAAGGATCAAAGGGCAGATTTCCTGAAGGAAAGGGATCAATTCATGGAATTTGTCAAAAAGCAGGAAAATTGCATATCCTGCGGAGAGCGTATCCGTGAATTTGAGCTTTCTCATCTTCAATCTTTGACCGAGGTGGAAAACTGTGAACCACCTCCGCTGCCTGGTATTGCTCAAGATTATTTAGGGAAGGCTACCCAAGAGACTCCTGGAAAGTCTGCTAATGTGTCGTTCCCTGTCTTTGGAACTTCAGCCTCTGGTGGGACCATGTCTTGGCTTAGGAAATGTACATCAAAGATTCTCACCTTTTCACCAGGCAAACAAACTGCATCTGGCGAACTTAGAGATTTGATGAATGAATCTGCCCTGCCGAGTAAGCATGTCAAGGAAAGACAAGCAGGCATGCCTCTTTTGAGGGGTGATGCTTTTGAAGAGCAGATACCCCTTGAACCTGCATACAGCACTGGTGAGATAGAAGCTAGCAAAGATACTGTGGAAGATACTCAAAATTCTAATGTGAGAATCGGAAAAAAGCATAGAGCTGCAAGAAGAGGGTACCCTAGGGGTAGAAAAACTGCTTCTGGTAAGGCCAATGGGAGCGTTGAGATCTCCATTAACACCAATGAGGAAAGTGAGAAAGAATCTGGTCTTCAAGGGAAAGGAACCCAAAGGAGTGACAGGAAACGTGGTCGTGTGCATGCATCACAAGGAACAGCAAGTGAGCATGGAGATTATAATAGTGAAGGAAACTCAGATAGTGTGACAGGTGGAAGGAAGAGGAGGCAAAAGGCTGTCCCTATTATGCAGACTCCTGGTCAAAGTAGATACTATCTCCGCCGGTCTAAAAGGTAAATCTCTTTCCATCGCTCTCTGATGTCGCTTAAGTATCAACCTGATTAAGAGAAGACAGTAAGGGTCTTATTGGATGGAGAGTTGGAGGGGAAGGCTTAGTCTACATCTTGATGTATATTTGAGATTTAAAAAAAGAAAAAAATTATTATAACAAGGATAAATCTCACCTAAATCTTTTTATCTTTCCACCTAAATTTTCAGGTCTGCTGGAGCAACAGCCAATGCTTCTCGATCTCTTAATGCTTCAACGGATCATGAAGAGACACGGCATCTCAAATCTGCTCAACCAGCTCCTTTAGAGATTATTGATGGGGAAGTGCGAAGTGTTGAGGTTGTTCACCAGACTGCAATAGAGACACAGATAGAGGTTTGTCCCTCCTCCTCACTCCTCTCCTCCCAAAATACAAAAATAAAATATTTAAAACAATAAAACCCTTTAAATTGTACTCAAGAAAGGACTACTACATCAACAACCCAGTTCAAGTAGGGTTTGGGGAGGATGTGCACGTAGACCTTATCCCTACTCGAAAGTAGGGAGGTTGTTTCCATTGTTGTAAATAAATTCTAGGCAGAAAATCTATCTACTACGTCCCCAAAAAGAGTCGTGTTTCATTAACTTATTTTGTCACAACTCACAAAAGAAAAAGAGTATGGTTTAAAGTCATACTTTATCTTTTTTAAGTAAAACATTCGAAAAGCCATATGGCGAGTGGCTTTAGTATTACTCCAAATAATCCTGGAAAAATGTTATTTTTTTTCGGGGGGGGGGGGGGGTACCTTACTCAGACATTTACTATTCCTAGACATTCCTATAAACGTACGTCATGCTCTGGCAGATCAAGGATACAGGAGACAATCAGGACAGCAAACCCAAGATGGCAAATGCTCATGTAGATACTGGTTTCAGTGAAGAAGAGGTTAGTGAAGCACTTGAAGTTCCCAATGAGTATGATGATGATGGTAGCCAAGGGGGTTACAGAACCGATGAAGAAGAGCATGGAAGGAGAGGTGGCGATGAAGAAGAAGAAGAAGCTGAGCATCCTGGTGAAGTGTCTATAGGAAAGAAGATCTGGACTTTCATCACCACATGATATATATCAACACACTGATCCAATCTGATCTATTGACATACGTTGCATTTAGGATGTGCACCGGATCCATTTGCCAAAGAGAGGATGATTTGCTATATCCCTTTTCTGCTTTTAGATATATATATATATATAAATAGTATGTGTCATGGAGGCAGCGTGTATTTTGTTGTAGTTAATCATAAATAAGATTGATTCAGGTGTGTATTGTTGTGCCTCTTAAGTGTTGTGTTGCTTCTTATTAGGGCATTGTTAGGGCTTTTGGCGTCAATCATTTAGCAGCATTGTTGATAGCCCCTCTGGTTTTGGCCCGTGCTTTGTCGAATCCGAATCTCTTTTTCTTTTCCTATTATTTTCCTCTCTTTGAATTAGTTTGCCACATTTGAAATGTAAAAGCCTATTCATCCCTTTGAATGTATTTCTCATCATGTGTCTTTTTAATGTTCATTTCGAGCTTCACTAGTCTTGGTGTATTGTGCACTAAAAATTGCTATTTATTTTTAAGTTTTTAGTGAAATTGTTTGGGGAGTGGTTGATAGTTGAGGGGATGTCAAAGTCTTAAATTGATATTTTCTAAATTCAGGAAATATCAAACAAAATTTCTCTATTTTTGATACTCAGATATTACTCCGTAGAATTTATTTATTTATCTTAAACGCTCTCCAAAAAATACTCCGTAGTCAATGCTCAGTTTAAAATAGTTCTAAATGGCTTTTTTAATACGAATTTAAAGAAATGACTGATCCCGAATTAATATTCTTTTTTAGATTATTTCAAAGTAGATGTTACATAAAGTTTACTTTTCAAAAAAGTAAAAAATATGTAATTCTCTTTCTTTTTTTAAAAAAAATAAGCTTAAGCCATCTGCTTTTATTAGTTTGTTGACAAATAGAATATGGCAAGTATTTAGGAAAAATCCTTAATTGAGCTATTATACTATCAGATTTTAAGATTGTCTACTAAGGAACATTTTTAGGTTGAATTCCAATATTAAAAAACTGGAACCCGAATCCAAATAGAGATACATATACATATACATATACATATACAGACAGACACATGCAAGTACCCATATGACGTCCTGCGAGCTAATATTTCACATATAAAAAAATGGAGATTTATATATATTATACTGTTGTTTGTTATTTACACAAGTGAAATGTCTACTACCTGCTGAGTCACAAGAATCAACATGTCGTTGATTGTCATTGGACAGCTAATTTATAGTATAACTTGAAAATCAAAACTACGGAGCATAAATGACCATTCTACCCGCAGCTAAATTATGTCGGTTATCCTAAACTTCCTAACTAACCAATAGGCAAAACTCTTTGGCAACCAGTTGCTGAGGAAGAGAGACTGTTCTGTTCCACTGTACATTGTGTTGATGATGTTCCTATTCCCTGAATATATGTATGTACACTTCGGATGGATCATATCAACTCTTTAGCAACCCGAATCGTTCCCCTCCACCGTTTGTCTTTGACGAATGTTAGACTGCAAAGCTTTCTTTTCTGCATGCCTCTTAAGATCCCTGCACAAACCCGAAAAAACAGGTTTTAATGACTTCAAGATTCGTTTTGGGTAGTATTCATTATTTTCGCTTTTGCTCCTTCCTCTGTCCCAAAATGAAGTTTACAGTTTCATTTCATGGAGTTTAAGAGAAGGGGTGAGAAAGGGTAAACTTCATTTTGGGACATCTAGAAAGGAAAGTGTAAACTTTATATTGGGACAGAGGGAGTATGTTTTTGTGGTTTTGAGTTTGCATGATATGCATTCTATAATAAACCAAAACTATTTACATGCTCAATTATCAAGTTTTTAGTTTTTCGAAAAAGAAGTGAGAACTAGAAAACCACTCAAAACAGGGGGAGCAAGAAGAACAAAATGGAGGATAGAAACGTACATGCATCGCGGAACCAAACAGTGAGAATCTTCGCACTTGCGTGAGTGCATCCGTAGAAGCGACCAGATTTTGCTACAGACTTCACAGCCTCCAGATACGCGAATGGTGCATCTATGTGCATGATGGAAAAGCGTTCTGATTTTATTACAGTCTGGGAGTGGACATGGGCTGCTCTTGCTAGCACGGCATTGGGATGCGTGCACTAATAAATCCAGTAATTGGACCTGCATCCCCAAATCAATTCATGTTAGGATCCTTTTGGAAGGATTTTAATGAAGAGCGTAATTTATAGGTTTAACTAATCTAAATAGTGCAGGGATATGGAATCTCTACCGGTGATCCAGCTTGTTGAAGTTGGGAATCACAACCACCACCAGATAAATAATGAATGCTTTTGAAGAGATGGTACAAAATCATCATTGAAGAATACTTTGCACGCCTGAGAGATTCAAACTGATAATTGTTTTGTTGACAGAAGCACAAGAAAGAGTGTCTATGCTCGAAAAAATCGTTATCTATAATGGCATCATTATCTTCAGTGTCAGCACGTATGACATCCCCAGACATCTAAGAAACAGAGCAAAAAAAAAGATTTACTGCATAGTCGCTAATAATGTTTTTAAAAATGTGCTTAAACACGTGATAGAGATTCCTGTCTAGAGGCCACAAGAATATTTCGAGGACTCACCTGTGTAAGAAAATGTTTCTCCCCAGAAGAAGAAGTGTGTTGCTTCTGCAGATCGATGCCTTCTTTCTTGTCCGCGCATCTATAGTAGTTTTAAGAATTAGTTTAGGGTTAAGAATAACTCCCGAGGAAAATAACTTTGTATGAACTGTACAATTTTAACGACCATGATAACTACAGATATAAAATAAATATGGAGTATACATTGTTCTAAATATTATAGCACAGACTACTTGACTAATCAACAACTCAATACCAGCTAAAAACTACCCACTTACCCACTATATACACTTAAAAAACAACAAACTCAGTAAAATACTCCATAACATGAACAGCAAATAATACGTAGTAATAAAGATGAAGTGATGATGACAATAATGACGTTGATGATGATGATAGTTATAGTGATAATTAAAAAATAGTGATAAATATGAGATAATCTGAGAGGAAACTTGTTGATTAATGAATATAGTTACTCAGTTAGAATACGAAGGTCCCCTATTTTTACATAAACTAGGATTTAGGGAGATCTAATTTTTGCTTCATACTTGGGCTAGGTCTACTGGATAGGATAGCTTACTAATTAGGGTTAAGAATCTTAAGACATGGAGTTGTATAAACATATCTGCTATTTGAAATTGTATCTCGCCCTAATAAATGCAACCAAGACATAGAACTGACTCAGGCACTCAGCCAACATAGCAGGGATTAAGTTAATGACATGATTTGCTTTTAAACATAAACTCATCTGTGCCCTTAAAATATATTACTTGGTTAAAATGCATTGTATCAGAATAGCCTAAAAACCAGAACAAAACAAAAAATTGCATTGTTAATAGCGGAAAGAGGAGAGATACTACCTTGCACATATTTCAAAATTTTTGCATTGGTTACAGCACCATCTAATTCCTGAGATTACTTCTTGACATTTGGCACACTTGAATTGCAAGTTTACAATGATAAAGTCTTCCTTTACAGGAAGAATCGTCTGCCCCAGCTGTCAAGCAAAGAATTGAAAACACTTTACACTTTAGCCTAACAGATGCGACAAAGATTCTGGATAACAACATTAATTTGCTGGCATTGGCCATACAGAAAATTAAGAACAGCACTGAGGCACTGAGCTAATAAAAGATTACTGACACTAACCATTGTTTGTTAGTGCACACACGTTCACACATGCATGTATTCTTCAAGAAAGAAGATAAATCCAAGTATTAATATGCAAACTTAGAAATGGAGATAAAAAAAGCTACCTTCTGCATTACGGTTACATCTTTAGCTGCTTCAGCAGAAAGATCACTATATCCCATCGCTTTAAAAGCCCTCTTTGTAATAGTTTTCTTAACTTTACTCGAAGATCCTCCTTTACCATCTTTATCTAAGTTCCTCATTGTATCCTCTGCAGCACTTGACCAATAGTCTCCATCAAAGTAAGGTAAACGAGCAGCAGAAATCTTGAAGTTTGAGTCCACATTTGGAATGAAAAAGTGATCATAGAAATTAGTGAAATTGATCACTATATCTTCTTTTGATGCTTTCCTCAGCATTGACCTATACCTGTACGCGTAAATCTAAATCAATTAACAAAGCATTCCATATAACTTGTAGATAAGTAAGCATTCAAGGTAAGCTTAAAACAAAATAAGCAGAACACAGAGCATACGGATTAATGGAGATGACAAATGATAAGTATATATACAAACAGATACCATTGGCGAAGCTTGTCTGGCTTTGGTGTTTTCTGAGATTCTGGGTGGCAATACAATATGTAATCTTCACCTTTCACAGGTGGGCAAGCCCATATATAGCAGGTCGTGAAACCCCGTTTCTTGCAGTATTCAAGGTACCCAATCTGAGGATACAGCAAGGATAAAAGCTTCCATCGGTTTCATAAGCAAACATATTTTAACATAGGAATAAAGAAAGTGATTATTACATAACAGTAGCATTTAGGTGGGAGTTCATACCAGAATTTCATGATATACAAAGGTGCGAAGAGCTTCCCCTGTTGCAGTTTGTATCTCAGGTCTGAAATATTTAACTGAGTCAAGATATGAAATGTAGACACAGCGTCTGTTTGGCTCACCACATTCTGATCCATACTCTTGGACGTACATCGCAAAGAGACATACATCTACTCCTTCAATGTTCTGAAACAAGAGGATCACCTGTTTGGAGAATGTGTCAGATCTAATCCACTGAAAAAGTTCAAAGATCGTGATGAATAAGAATCAATAATAAGTACTTTCTCACCTTTGATCTGTATTGAAACTCTAAAGGATAATCTTGTGTGTGAAAGATATCCAAAAATTGCTGCTTGACTCTCAGTTGCTTATTGACAGACAATACTACCCTGACAGCAAGACCTGCCACAGCTGGCACCTGGCAAAGGGTAATATATCAGTAGATGTAAGGTGGAAGGAAAAATTTTAAGAGCACCACAGGATATTAAATATAGAGTATAAGATTAACAGGGCGCTAAATATAAGATTGAAGTAAACTGATAAAATGAACTGCTATCATGTAAAATACTATGCATCTTCAAGCACGAGTCTAATTATCACTTTCAAATCCCTTTACTTTGATGAACAATCTCACTAACCCGTGTATTATCTAACAAGCATAGGACACATTTGAATCAAACACACAAACACATGAGCCGTGGGAAGATTGTAGCATGTATATAGTTAACTAGCGGTGTAAATTACTATACCAACACTAATTATTATAAGTGTAACTCTTTTCCCCGTTTCAACTTTCCACATTTAGTAATACATAAAATATTAACACACTTCAAATTTGTCATAATTGTTCAGCAGCCTACCTCATCTAGGCTCTTTCCTAAAAGCTTTGC